TTTACTTAAAGTGTTCGTATATAATTCTTTTTTCAGAAAAAAAAATTAATATCAACTTATCAAATTTGATTAGCCATAAAGTTGGCTTTTAGCCAACTTTATTCATCAGATTTTTTATTTTCCAATTCAGCCATTTAAATAATCTCAATCAATTAATCAATCATTAACCAAATCAACCACTGAATAATCATCATCAATCCACCCACCCACACACAAACACACACACACACACACACACAAAACATAAACACACTATTTAATTTTCTCATCAATCAGAATTATCCGATAAGACTATGAACCATCATCATCACTATTTTCCAATAGGATCAATAACACCAAATGCAGCAGCAGCAACTGCCGCAGCCATATATGCACCAAACTATCATTCATCCATGTCAATCACATCAAAATCACAACAAAATCATAATATAAATGATGAATATGATAGTTATCATCATTATCAACATTATCATCATCATACACATCATCATTATGCAAATCAAAATCCTTATTATCAACAAACATATTCCATTGCAAATAAATCTTCTTATATATCATCACAATTATTTCCAACATCATATAATCATATTGTGAACAAACCTTTAATAACATTAAATAATTTACCAACATCACCTACATTAATAAATACGTCAGCTGTATCATCATCATCACCAATATCACCTTCTTTGACCAATCAACATTCATTATCATCATCTTCTTCTACTTCTTCTTCCTCCTCTTCATCATCATCATCATCATCGACTTCGGAATTATTGTTAAAACATTGTCCATTAAACGTTATCAGTGACCAATCGATACTGTTTAATAATTATAATCATTCAACAATACAATCAACATCATCATCATCATCATCATCATCATTGTCTTCGGCTTCATTGTCTATGTCGCCATCATTGTGTTCGTTAACAAATCTACGTTTGTCATCCGGTTCAACATCTTCAAATTCATCAGCAATTTCCAATCCAAGTCAACAGAATCGATTATTATCCAACGTTCATACAACGACAATAACACCTACGACAACAACAATAGCCATGCAATCAAGTTTGGCATCAAATCATTTGGGCACAATGTATGCCACAAAAAGGCGTCGACGTAATAGTAAAAAGTAAGCAAATATTCTCAAAAACATAACCTGACAATACCAAGAACCAATGATTCAATTTTCAGTTTCATATTTATTTCAGAAATCTTTAGAATAATAAAAATAAAATCTGACATTCATCTTTTATTCTTTTATTCATTCAAAGAGAATGTATATATAAGGAAATTCAATAAGATGAGATCATCTGATTAGTTTTTTTTTATTTTTGATACGAATCTATCTAGAATAATTTAATAGTTGAAAACAAAACAAAAAAAAACTTCCTCCTCCGCCAAGAAAAATAGATTATATGATGATGATCATTCATTCAAAGTTAAATTGTCAAATTGTTTTTTTGTTTTTTAGCTACAGTTTTCATTGTCAATTGAATTAAATGATCAAAATCTTAACTGATTTTTGGATTATTAGATGGGATGATAAAAAATAATTGTTAATATTTTCTCATTTTCAGATTGATTTTGATTATTTAATAACAAAATAAAAACAAAACTCAAAGTTCAATTATCATGAACAATGATGATGATGATGACGATGATGATGGCGACCAGAGATCATAAGATATTGATCTAAGAATATTCTGTATTCACATAGGACTGTGGTGTTTTTTTTCAATATATTTATATATACGTATATGGTTGATTGGCTTATATACTGATTATATTCAATTTTTTTTTCTAAAACGATGAAAATTGATTTTATTCCACACGAACATTCGTGTGTCTGTGTGTCTGTGTGTTTGAAAAATATGAATTCTCTTATGTCAATGTTGATTGATGTTGATTTTAATCATCAACATTTATATATATTCTGTTTATTGTTATTGCCATTATACAATACAATTCATGATGATGATTATCACAAATGATATCAAATGTTTTTTTTTCATTCATTTTCTTATCAAAAAAAAAAAAAAAAAAAATAAAAATTTCAGATTTACTGATTGATTGATACATGATCTGATGACCTTTGTGTGTTGGAAATTTTTTTTTTTTTTTGAAAATTTGTATCAAATCAATTAATTATTGAGTACATTTGTATATATATATGGCAATTAATGCTAATATATCATCATTATGGTCATTGGTAATTCATTTATTTTCTACACTATTTTAATGGTCAGAATAAAACAATCAAAAATAGAATTGGATTGAATTTAACAAACAAAATGAACGAAAAAAATTGATACCGTACATTGTTTTTCTGTACCCGTACCGGGATCTTTTATAGATTCAAAAAAAAAAAAAAAATTTTTTTTTTTTTTTGAATAACGTCTATTTGTGTATGTTTTACTAACATTATGGTTTTGTGTAGCAATATTAGAATTTTGTGTAAGCGAATGATAGATACAATGACAGAAAACCAGATACTGAATAGAAACCGTTATATTGAACACCAGTATGTATGCTGTGTGTGTGTGTGTGTGTGTGTGTGTGTGTGTGTGTGTGTGTATGTAGTGGATGTACCAAGATCAAAGCATAAAGTGCAATAGAACTTTTATCTATGCTTTGTGACTGTCACACACACACACACACAGCATACAAGATATATACAAAAACAAAATGTTTTCTACCCTAGTGGTATGCCCATCATCATCATATAGCTTCCATACACACACACACACACACACACATACAGGAGAGATTAAAATCATTTCATTTTGGATATAATCAGAATCTATGATGATCAGAATAAAATGAACTAAAATATACTAAAATACTAAAATAGTATTATGGATGGTGAAAAAAAAATACTCAATTAAGCTAAACATTTACAGATTCTTTATATAGATAGATGTAAATCATTCTTGTGATTCTGAATTCAATGTGAATATAGCAATGGATGATGATAATAATAATAATAAAGAATAAAGAATCTTTAAGGATTTTCGTATCTATTCTAGAAACATGCGTATACCGTATATGTTTGTGTTTATGTGATACAATATGATCTGATAATGTTGTCAATATAGACAACAACCAACCATTGTATTACATTGCATCATGTTACTATTTTTTTTTGTTGTATTTTGTGCTATGACAACAAATCCAAAAAAAAAATCTTGGATAAGGTTGAACGATTCAACATAGATTTAGGAGGCGTCAACCTTTTATTTTTTTTGTTCGATTCACATTCATCAATGATGATGGCCATTTTGAAATTGGTTAGATTTTGTTTTCAATCTAAAGATTTGAGAGGAAAAATTTTCATTTTTTTTTCACACTGCCGTTAGAATTTTTTTTTTCTTCTTCTTCTTCTTCTTTCTTCTTTGTCATGAAATTAATCTATGGTTTTTTGTTATCAGTTTGTTTGTTTAGTTGAAAAAACTCAACAACGTTGATTCATTTAATTGTCAATCAAATTGACTAAATAGTCAATTAATTCTCATTTACTTGACATTTTTTCTCCCCCCACCAGTTGTACAGTTTTCATTATGAATTTCGTCGTTGTTGTTGTTGTTGACATGTTACTGGGTGGTGGTGGTTTTTCTTTTTTATTTTCCAAATAATCTACCTAATCCTGAAAGTAATAGATTGTGTATCTCCCTCTTTTTTTTAATTTATTTTTTCGTTGATTTGAATTACAATGAAAAAAAAATACAAAACAACAACAACAACAACAAGGACTAGAAAAACCGTAATTCAAAATACTTATGTAGACATTGTCGTTGTTGTTAATTTAATTTAATTACAATGATGATGATGAATATATAATATATACGTTGAATGGATTTTTAATTTGATTTTGAATTGAGAACAGAACAGAGAGAGAGAGAGAGAGAGAAAAAAAATTGCACAGATTCCTTAAGGCGATTGATTAGTAGTAGTATCGGAAATCAATCTGATATAAAAACAAAAACAGATTATATTAGCATGGATATTTAAAATGAAACAGAAATATGTGAACAAATTCAATTTGATAAACAAAAAACAAAAAAAAAGATCATTCACTGGCAGAATGTGTGTGTGTGTGTGTGTGTGTGTGAAGTTTGATAAAATATTCAAAATTTAGTCTTTTTTCGTTTTTCAAATACACACACACATGAAAATCATTCATCCATTCATGAAATGAATTGAAATGAAGGTGATTGTCACATTTGGACACGTATTTTTTTCGTCGTCGTCGTTGTTGTTGTTGCTGCAAGAATGATTCACCACCAATAACAATGGAAAGAAAAAGAAAATTTTTTTTTTTTTGACACCTTCAACACCAACAACTACAATATAGAGGAAAAAAACCGTCAATAATTATAATATATATATAGTAGTTTGGTGTATAGTGTATATATATATGTGACACATTAGATTTGATCTGTTTTTAATTATAATAACGAATAATGATGATAAAAATAACATAACGTTATCCTGTAACTAAAAATTACCTACAACAGCAGTGAATTGATTCGATTTTGTCTTCTTTTGTTTTTTGTTTTTTGTTTTGAGGGGATGGAACCAAAAAAAAAAAAAAATGATCAGAGTACTATTGTTCATGAATTTTGATGATTATTTGACACATTTGAATAATTGTAATGATTTTTTTTCATTCATTTTTTTTTTTAATTTTTTTGTTTCTTGTTCTTTTCGGTTGGATAGTTTACGTTTGAATAAAGAAAGTTTGGTCAGCCCATCATCATCATCATCATCAGCAACGATTGTAACGACAACATCGACTACAATAGCAACAACGGTAGCTACAATATCATCATTACAACAGCATTATGATAAAACAACAACAGAAACATTATCATCATTGGAAAACGGAAATGTTAATATTGCTACCGGTTCCGGTTTGACTAATCATCTTCATAATCATAATCATCATTCTCAACAACAACAACAACATCATAATCAACATAACCACCACCATCATCAACAGCAACAGCAACAACATTCGCATCAATTATCATCGATGACAAGTGGCACACAACAACAACAACAACAATCAACAGCAGGATCATTAAATACAAATGGGGTTAATTGTCATAATAATAGCAATTCTCATCATCATAACAATATGATTGCATTATCGAATAGCAATAATAATCAATCGGTAACCAAAACAAATCCATCGAAAAGACATCGTGAACGTTTAAATTCAGAATTGGATATGTTAGCATCATTATTACCATTTGAACAAAGTGTCCTATCTAAATTAGATAAGTTGTCCATATTAAGGCTTAGTGTTTCATATCTACGTACTAAAAGCTATTTTCAATGTAAGTCAAACAAAACAAAACAAAACAAAAAATGGAAAAATCTTATTGTTGGTTTATATTTTTCTTATTGCATTTCTTAACAAAAAAAAACATTGGCAAAAATTTTATGATGTTACATGATTCTTCATGATGATATTCATGTTGTTGATTCAATTTTTGAATATCGACAAATTTTTTTTTCTTTGTCTCTCTTGTTGTTGTTTTATTTTTTTTTTTTTTGCACTGAAGTTATTTAATTGTATATAGAACAACAACAACAAGTATTATGACTTTTGGGTCATAAACGCCATTATTATCATCATCATTATTATTATTATCATTATTATATGGCCTTGTATGATTCTTTCTTTTTCACCATTCTGTGTTTATTGTGTGTGTGTGTGTGTGTGTGTGTGTAAGAAAAAAAATGAATATGAATGATAATTATCATCATAACAAAAACATACAAATAAATAAATAATGGATGCCACAATATTTTGTTCGGACCAAAATAAAAACAAAAAAAAAAAATTTTTTTTTGTGCAGTTCATATACACACATTCAGATAGCAGATACAAGACATCTGAACAATGAAAAACGAAATCGAAACGAAAATAAAAGAAAAGAAAAGAAAAACTAAAATCGATCTTGTCGACTTGTAAATTTGTGGATCGATTATTATTATATGTGGCCGATATATTTGCTATCAAGTAGTTGATCGATATCATCATCATCGATATTGATCATTGTGTGTGTGTGTGTGTGTGTTTGTTTTGATCGTAAAACTAATAGAAAAACAGAAAAAAATATGAAAGAAACAAAAAACAATCAGTAATCACATAAAAAACAATAATAATCATCATAATACTAATATAATAATAATAAATGCTTCTTTCGTTTTCGAAAATTGAACAATCGAATATCGTAGTTAAAAAACAAAAAACAAAAAACAAAAAATTTTGTTGTTGTACAATTCAAAATTCCACAATGTCCACAACAGAACACTTTACGATTGGTGGTTATTATCATTATCATCATCATCATAATAATGGAAAGAACGAAAATATGGCCACCCGATAAATCTCATATGATGATGATAATTATATATGCATACACATGCAATAAATATTTGAACATTTTAGTATGTCATTTATACATATATATATATATATGGTAGAGAAATAAAAAAAAACAATAGAATTATATTATCATCATCAATTATATCCTATTATATTTTTATAATAATAATAATATATGAAAAAAATAGGCGCGCGCGCCTGTGAACGCAAACTCGCGTAATCATTTTATATGGACCAAATAATGTTTTCATAGATGATAATAAGTGAGTGAGTTTTTTTTTCTTCCTTACAATTTTTAAAAAAATTTTTCTCTTCAAATTAACATATTGAAGATGTTTTTAGGGTAATTTTTTTTTTGTTTTTTCTAATAGTTCCCAACGGATATTTTACAAATGGCTTTTCTGTCGTGTGGCATCTTCTGACCAATTTTTTTTCCATAGCAATGTTATTATCCAATTAACACACACACACACACACCTGAAAATGAACATGTGAGATTTGGAATAAATTTTCCATTTTACAGCTGTCGCTATTTGGTTTCAGCGAAAAAAATTTGGTTCATCAAGAATCAAAAAGAAAAAAAAATTCCACTGTCATGTTTAATTTAGTCATCATCATCATCATCAAATCAGTAATTTTTGTGTTTCTATTTACGACGAAAAAAATTGACATTTTATTTTGGAATACTTTTCAGAATTTTCATGAATGAAGAATCGAGTATAATATCAGCATGTAAAAATAATTATACCTGTCATATTCAGTTTTTGTTGTTGTGGTCACAGATTAAGAAACACCTCCATGGAAAACAAAACAAGAGAAAAAAAATCTGGAGGTGGAGTTTTTTTTCCTATCCGAAGAATGTATTTTTTTTTCATCATCATTCCGGAATACAGAAAAAGAATCAGACCAAAAATTTCTCAAATGAATGAATGAAAGAAAATGTAACCAAAATTCTTGAATTGAGTCACACACACACACACACAAAAATGATGGTAATCATCATCATCATGTGACTATCTCTCCCACACACACCTTAGGCTTGGCCATCACTGATTTGGCAATCGAATTTAGTAAGCACAACAAAACAAAAGTGAAAGAGAGAGAGAGAGAGAGATAGAGAAAAAATTGCTTGAAGCCAGCATAGATAGAAAAAGCGAGAGAAAGATTGTCATCCAGCCACCCGAAACCAGTAATTTAATGCCATCAAATTTATCCCTTATGGTTGAATTCAAAAATTTTCTGAATCACAACAACTAATATTTTGGTAAAGAAGAAATCAAAAAAAAAATGATGATGATGATGATGATTACTGTCGTTACTGTTGCTGTTGTCATTGTGTTGATGTTGTTGATGATGATAATGATGAAGATTTAAATTGTGATGATGACTAGCCTCAAACCTAATTGTTCGTTATCAATTCGTTTGTTATTTCATTTTCGTTGTTTAGTTTCGGGTTTGGCTCCCATCATCATCATCATCATCATCATCACCAATCTATGGTCGATTAGTTTTTTATTTCGTTATCCATATAGTTATTTTTTTCTGTTTATATTATTATTATACATGTCCAATGTCCAGTTGAATGATGATGACAATGCTAGTGTTTGGACATCTGTGTTCGATCTCATAGAAATGGTTCCACATTGTCCATATACTCACACACACCTTCAAAATATTGAATGTCCACTTTGAGATTTAGGTAGTGAAACACAATGTATGTTTAGAATTGAGAAATCATCAACAAGAATTAATTCTATATCTCACGATAGAATTGGTAATCATAAAAATTCTTGAATTTTTGGATTTTTTTGCAGAAATTTTTTTTTTTTGAATGACAAATTTTGATTCGAAACAAAATTGTCAAAAAGAAAAATTATCACTCAAAAGGGATGCCAAGCCTTTATTTTTTTCTCATAATCGCGTGTGAGTTTGTGTATTGGTGTGTGTGTTTATCTCATCACAGTGAAAAAGGATGAAAATTTTACATGAAATTTTTGTTTTTGTTTTTTCGTAAATCAAAATTTTTTTTTCATTTCATCACAATAACAATGTCTACATTTGTTGTTTACGATCCTAAGACAATCCTAAATTTTTCTTTTTTTTGTTCTTGGCTAATTGCTTGTTTGTTTTTAAAAAAAAATTTTTGATTCCATTCACATGGATTAATAATGGTTATTATTATCAAACACAGGACACACCAAAGAATTTGAAGAAAATTAGTTTATGTCCACCACTGAAAATTTTTTGTTGACAAATTCTGTTTATAATGATAAAAATATTTTCCATATCCATATTTATTGGAATTGTCATTGAATGGCAATATTTTGGCGATGCCATTGATTTTGATATCGTTTGTTTGATATAAAATTGCGTGTCTGATCGATGATGATGATTATGAACAAAACTGCTCAACACTCACTCTCTCTCTCTCTCTCTCTCTATCCCTATATCCATAGGTTTAGGGTTGCCACAACCACAACTGTTTGTTAATGATGTGATGAAAGTTTTTTTTGTTTTGTTTCCATTCCAATTTTTTTTTCTTTTATTTCGAAATTCTTTTTTTTTCATTTGTCTTGTTCATTGAAAAAAATTGATTTTAATTACAGCCATCATAATGATGATGATGATGATGATTATAATAATAATAAAAATCATCATTCGATTGTGATAATGAAATTTTGGAAATCCGAACATGATTATAATTGTTTGGCTTGCTTCGTTGTTTTCTGTTGATGATCAAACCATTTCTCTCTCTCTCTCTCTGTTTCTCCCTTTTTTTTTTCGTTGTGATCAACCAGTGATAAAAAGGTGGAAAATTTATTTATTTTTTTTCTTTTCATATTCATTCAAAAACTATATGCATGAATGAATTTTTTTTTCGATTTATCCGTTTTTTTTCGATTGTTTGATTTGTTTTTTTTTCTGTTGGCCGTTGCCCGATGAATGTGTGTGTGTGTGTGAGAATTTGTCATTGGGAATTTGAATTCATGATGACGCACGATGTTTGTTGTCAGCCAGCCAACCAACCAAGAATCAATAGGTAGTCAGATAGGAAAAAAAAACAATGAAACAGAACAAACTTTCTTCACCAATGTCAAGAGAGATATTCGATTTTATTCATTGTAGAAAAAACAATGTCGAAATCATTTATGAGAGAGAGAGAGAGAGAGAGAGAGAGAGAGAGAGAGAGAGAGAGAGAGAAACGGATGAAAAAAAAATTACAAAAGTCAAATTGTTTGGACAGGTAATGAAAATGTGTGTACTGTGTGTGTGTGTGCACAACCTAATATTAATCGAAGTGAATGAATTTTTTAAAATGCCAGTAGTAGCACAATCAACAACAACAAAAAACATTTTACTTGATACAGCAGCCACGCGAATTACACAGAAAAAAAAAAAATTTCATTTCCAATCATCATACAATTTTCATGTATGGACCATGTATGGTTTTTTTCACTTTATCAAAGAATTATCTATCTATTGGTGAAATAATTCAATGGGACCATAGAAATTTTGGAATTTGTTTTTCTTCATTCCAATGAGTTTTATGCGTGACATTTTTTTTCGTTTCGTTTCGTTTTGTTGACTTTGAACACATATGAACAAATTCTTTTTTTTTCTTTTTTTTTGCTGATTACTTAACAATTTTTTTTTTGAAATTCCAGAATTATTGCAACACATAATTTCTCACTTTTTCTCAACATAATCGATGATAATCTTCAATTCTGTACATTTTTTTCTTATTTTTTGATAAAAATCAATTCAATGATGATAACCTTGTGTATTGATTGTTTGATTCAATACGGATTTCAATACATATATAAAAAAAATACTGTCGAAAAGTTGTCATAAGTATGAAAAAAAATTGTTCAATATCAATCGATTGATTGATCGAACGAACAAATTATTTTTTTTTTTGTTCCTTCTTTGTTTGATGATTTTTTTTTTTTGATGGATTATATTTGGGTCAGTTTTTTTTATGGCTATTTATCGACTAAATAGGGTCCATTTTATTGTGTGTGTGTGTGTTTTGTTGATGATGATGATGATGATGATTTTTTCAGATTATTATCGGACATTATTATTTAGATAAATAAATGATTGATTAATAATAATGATGATGATGATGATATTATCATCACTTAACATATTCTTAGGGGTCATATGTCGAAAATTTTTTTTTTCTATATGGCGGTATTAGAGTTAATAAAGAGGAACACATAAAAACAACTAAAGACCTAGAAAAAAAACTGAAAAGATTGCGTGAGCTATTCAAAAAAAAAAAAAAAACAATCAATGCTAACCTTGTAATGATGGTTATGAATTCCTAGCAAGGTACCTAGCAGACAGGAAAAAAAAGGTCAACTAGATTGAATATAAACAACAATCTGAAGAATATTTCATCAATAACAACAACAACAACAACAACAAACTGATTGACTATTGATAGTTATTTTTTTGTGACATAGAAAAACAAGAGAAGAAAACCAAAAAAAAAAGAAAAGAAAAACGCCTTTTGATTTTATTATCACGCAATATGATATAAAGAAATTTTTTTTTATTCTTCTATAACCAGTAGCTCCAATTATTCACAAACATTGAGTGAAGAAGAAGAAGAATAAGGAGAAAAATGATTTTAATAGCCAATGACTGATGATTGTTTGATAATAAAGCAGAAAAATTGTTCATCATCATCAATTGAGATTGTGATTGATTGAGTGTTAAGTTGATTTAAATCTAAATGTAAATGTTGATGTCGTTTTCGTTTTTTTTTTATTATGGCAAGAACCTCTGACCAATCATTATCATCATCATTATTGTTTGATCGCTTAATCCTTGACAAATTATTATGTATTACACACACACAAAACCACAGGTACAAGGTTCGAATTTTTGATTTATCAAAAGTCAATATACAGTGTATATGAAGAAAGATGATGATGATGAGGGGGTGACCCCGAAAACAAGAATCACTATATTTATCAGTTAGTTTGGTTAGTTAGTTAGTTAGAATGACCAGTATGGATCAAAGATAATTTTGTCGTTGATAATGATTTTTTCTTTTTCTTTTTTTTCATGACGACGTCGACAATGACGATGAATTTGGTTATTGCGTGCCAATCTTAATTTATTGGCCAATAAAAATGAATGAATATATGTGGATATCTGAAATTTCCTTCTTCTTCAATTTCTTTCATCATAATAAAACACACACACACAGACACAGACACACACACACAGAGACATGCACCTGAACATTTTGTTTGATTTACTTATTTGTTAAAATTTTGTTATGATATATAAATCATGTGATAATAATAATAATAATAATATTTATATACATGGTCAAGCTATTTGAAATCATAAATGTTATGATGATGATGATGACAAGTAATGGTAGTGATTTTGATTCGCTTCTGCATTTTCTTTTTCTTTTTTTATTTTTTGTTATATGATTGTCATTAACTTATAACAATCATCATCGTCATCGTTTTTTTTTTTGTTACACATAGGAATATATGAAATCAAAACATATATTCTCTTTACTTCCTTCCTTTCAATCATCAGTGACATACAAATTACACACACACACACACACACACACAATGAAGAATATGGGAGAGGAAAAGATTATTTATTCTGTTCTCATATTGAAAACAGAATTATTAGTGGTATGAGAGAGAGAGAGAGAGAGAAATTTTTGTTTTTCCATCTATTAAATAAAGTTATAAATCGAATCATCATTTCATCGTCGTTATCATCAAATCATTATTATTATTATTATTTTTATTAAATTGATTCGTTACGATTCATTTCATTGAATGATTGTGAGAAATTGTTGTTGTTGTTGTTGTTCAAATATCGATTATGAATGTTTGTTTTTTTTATCCATCTATGTTGCAGAATTAATGAATGAATGAATGAATGATCCAAAAAAAAATGAAATTTGTGAATTTATAGTAAGCATTGATGTATGACACATAACATATACACATATATGGCTACTGTATATTTGTGTGTGTGTGTATGATGTGTGTGTATTTGTGTGCACATGGCCAAAATATCATTATCCAGGTGTGTGTGTGTGTGCATATGAGTGAATGAGCTTGAATTGATCACGAAATATGTAACCAGGTTTTTGTTTCTGTTTTGGTTCGGTTTTTTTTGTTGCCACATCATCATCATCATCATCATCATTGGATAAAGGTTGAGATTAGATTAGGCCATCATCAACAGAAAATAATAATAATAATGAGCTCGTGATACACGAATTTTTTATTTTATTCAGAATCATCATTATTATCTCATTGGAACATAACAACAACTTTATATAGACTTTATTATATTGTAAAAATAGGATTAAATCATTTTTTTTTTTTTTTTGAACGCGTGCACCATGGTTTTCTGTTTTTTTTTGGCGATAAAAATATTCGTTATGATTCTCTTATGAGAATGATATCGATCACTGGCATAATTTGTTTCCTTCTCTTTTTGGCTCAAAGTTCAAAGTTAACAACAACAACGAAAAAAAAAAATTTGATTCAACTGTTAGTCGGTCGACCAAATTGCACAAACACACACACACACAGATAACAACCACAACACATACAGGTCGGCCGACTGGCTGGCTGGCTGGCTTGGTAACTTTTTCTTTTTTTTTCCTGGAATGATATTGTGTACCATCAATCATCATCATGTCATATCAGTCAAAATTATTATTATTATATGGCTAAGAGATATCCACTACCACCAAAAACAAAACAAAAAAAAATGACCATCAAAATCATAATCGTCATTATTATTATCAATTGTTATCATTATTTATTTGTTCGGCAATCAAATTGTAATATGGTCATCGATGATGATGATGATGGTTTCGATTTCGATTCACATCATACACACTTATATTTATTTGTGAATTCGGCAAAGAAAAAAACGTGCTATTCATTCATATTGGGTGAGAAATTTTAATTTTCTTATTACTCTGACAAAACTGGACATTGGCCATTTTTTTTGGCGCCCAATAATAAATTTTGAAACAAACAAGCTGGCCAAAAAAAAATTGAATTGAATTGAAAAAAAATCTAATCAAGGTTTATATATATTTATTATATTATTAGTTTATTAAGTATAATGATGATTACATTGATATCGGATGACCTATGACCTTTTTCGAACCTGTCTACTTTTTGGAAAAAAAATATATTCATCTCTCTCTCTCTTTCTCAATCATTGAATTTAAACAACAGAAATTTTTTTTTCTTCTTTTTTTCAAAATCATTCATAATGACCATAGAGATTGAATCGATAAATCATCATATATGTTATTGATGATGATGATGATGATGGTAATGAGAAATTATCTAATACACACACATAAACAAAGAATGAAAATAGATTTCATTTGAATTTAATTTCGACAACAAATTCGTTTATAATTTCAAAATAAATTGACCGATGAGGGATATATAATCTGCATGATGAAAAAAAAATAAAAATAAAAATAAAACAGAAAATCAATTCAATCGATATCGATATACCAATTGAATTCAAGATCAATCGATCAAAATTCGATTGTACTTGTGTAATTTTTCAGTCTGGATTATCCATCCATCCATCTATTTATGCACTGGTTGAATGAATGAATGAAATGAAATTGATGGATGCAAAAAGAAAAGTTTCAGTTTCTTTTTCAATAGATTCAATATATATATATAATTGATTATCATTACTTGACAATAATAATTCATTTTCTCTTTCTCATTTTTTTTTATTAAACATTTTGATTTTGATTAAAATTTTCAATTGATCGATTTCAATATTGATAGCGGCATTAAGAAAAGATCGAGAAGCCCGACAACAACATCAAGCATTACAGCAACAAAAGCAGCAGCAGCAGCAACAGCAACAGCATTCTGGATCAACCAATGATCCGACATCAATATCAACGGCTGTTGTATGTGATTCATCATCATCACCATCTATTACGATTGGTATAACAAAATCATCAACATCAACATCAACTACAGCGGCAGCTAATTCAGATTTGAATGGTCATAATAATAATAATAATAATTATAACAATAGTAATGGAACAACTAGTTCAACATCATCATCATCTTCGTCATCATCATCATCATCATCATCTTCATCATCATCATCAACATCATCATCACCATCAGCATCATTGTCGGCCAAAATTTTTCATCAACAACAAAATTTTCATTCAATACATCAACAACCGCATCAATTTGTTCATGGCCATCATTATCAACAACATCAACAATCAAATCATAATTTACAACAGCAACAACAACAACAACGACAACAACATCATCATCATCATTCGAATCATAATCAACATCAACGTCATCATCATCATCATAATCATTTACATTCACAATATACAAATCTACATAATCGTATTGGTGGTTGTGGCTGTATATCGCCAACAATGACAACGGAAATGACAGCTGCAGCAATTGCAATTGAAGCAATGATGGAAAGTGATCTAATATTACAGGCATTAAATGGATTTTTATTGATACTCACCTGCGAAGGTGAAGTATTCTATACATCGCACACCGTTGAAACCTATCTTGGTTTTCATCAGGTAAATTAAAATTTTCATTTATTATCATATCATATCATCAACAACAACAACAGCCAAAAAAAAAATCATATGACAGACATGAATATAATTGATTTCATCATCATTATCATCATCATCTTTCATATGACATTTGAAATTTTGTTTTCCATTGACCAATAGCGTCCAGTTTAATTTGTGTGCCCATTTTTTTTCATACATACAACAAGCATTTGTGTGTGTGTGTGTGTGTGTGTTGACAGGGCTAATCGAATTTAGAGTAATAATTCAATTGTATATGTACAAACCATAAATGACAACCATCAGCATAGGCTGATAATCAGATCAACGATAGATATAGTTAACTATTGGCTACCGGTTCAGCAAATAATGTTCCAAATAACAAAAGAAAAAAAACCCCATCCTAAATTACGGATATAGATAATTACAATTGACCATTTGACATGATCAAAATTGTTGATTTTGGTCTGACCTTAATGATAATTATTATTATCATAAGTTGATGGTCAGTTTTTTTTTCTCTCTCTCTTTTTTCTTTCTTACCGCCATTAACCACCAATTATCGTAGTGACCGTTAGAGTAATATATAAAAGAAAAAATTTAAATTAAGTTATTCAATCATATGGGTATTGGAACAACAGCGACAACAGCGACAACAACAACAATTTAGAAGATAAATAAATAAATTCTAATTTTCGATGACTATCATCATCATCATCATCATCATCAATGGGAACTAATTTTCTGTCCCAAAAAAAAGAGAAAATAATTTATTCATTGTTTTTTTTTGTTTCGTTCTCCTGTTCACGGATTACGTTGAATGAGTCTGAATGATTTTTTTTTTTTTTTTTGGTTTTGTTTTTGTTTTTGTATTGTAATAATAATAACAACTTTTATGATGCTTTTTCATTTTATTTATTTGATGATGACTTGACCAGATGTGTGTGTGTGTGTGTATGTATGTGTGTAACCTCAAAACGTACACGTTTTTTTTTCTGTTTCATTAGTTGTTAGTTGTTCCCGTTATGAATGGATGTGTGTGTGTGTGTGTATGCATTTGTGTCCGTGTTCGTGGAACACGTTTTTTACTGTTTTGGTTGTTTTTTTTTTGGTATATAAGGTCATCAAAAAAAAATTGATTGGAAAAAAAATGAAACGTAAACATAAATAAGGTAAACGAAATGGATTTTGTTTTTTTTTTTGGTCCATAATGAATGTGAACAAGGTCATCAATGTTGTTTTTTTTGCCTTTCTACCACCATTTTTTTTTTATCTCTTTGGCTATCTTATTCGTGGCTTTTTTTTCCTGAAATTTTTACCAAATTGTTTGAATCAATTCATTTTAATTCAATTCAAGTTACATTCATACATCATTTTTTTTTTTTTGGTTTGTTCATTTTTAGGTAGTTAGCTGGTAGGTAGCCAATCTCATCTTAATTATTATTCATTACAAGCCTAATTAGTCTGAAGAAAAATTGTTGACGTAGAGAGAGAGAGAGAGAGAAAAAACCAAATAAATGAATAAAATGAACCAGCCACCATTACGATAATGATGATGATGATGATGATGGCGATTATAATTTATTAAGACCACCACCACCACCACCACCACCACCACCACCACCACCACCATCATCATCATCATCATCATTAAAGCGAGAAAAAAAACCTTTGTCCAAATGAATAAACCAGGTAACTGGAAAAAAAAGCAAAGCAGAGAAAATAATTATAAAAAAAAACATTGAAGATGACAATTGACATATTAGTTGCGTTAATTTTTTTTTTGTTTTTTGCCTAAAAGATTATGGCTGAAACACGGAAATCTATGACAACAATAACAACAACAACAACAACAATCTTCATCATCAATTTTACAATCCAACAGGAATTATTATTATATTCAAGTTATGTTTCAGTAATATAATGCTATGCTTTCTCTCTCTCTCTCTCTCTCTCTCTCTCTCTCTCTGCAATTTTGTTTGTTTTTTTTTTTTTGGTTGATTTCCATTTCTCTCTCTCTCTCTCTCTGACCTTTTCTTTCTCTTCATTTAACTGGAAAGAAAAAAAAACCAGTGAAGAGAACGAAAATAAAAAACAAAACAAAACAAAAAAAACACACCAACAATTTATGAGACATATATAGAAAAATACACATAAATCAAAACCATCATCATCAGGAAAAAAAACATTACTTTTATGAATGGTCTTTTTTTTTGTTTTTTTTTCGTGGCCAAAAGTTTGTCATAAATTAGGCTTGTCCACACATATAATTGTTAAGGTGGTGGTTAGATTTTGGATTTTATTATTGTTATTGTTATTATTATTATTTGTCAAACACACCCATATACTGGATGATCCATTTTGGGACAAAATGATGATGACAATAATGTTTGATGATGATGATGATGATGATGATGATTCATAAATGCATGAATTTATTCATTACTGGAATCCATATGAATATCAATATTTTATTATTTATGTTTTAATAATTATAAATTTTATTTTTTTGTCAATTATCAGTCGGATATTTGTCATCAAAGTGTATATGAATTAGTACATTCTGAAGATCGTGAAGAACTACAACGCCATCTAATGTGGAATTCAAATCTACCGGCTGATCGTTCAACAATGAAATTTGCTGAAATATTATTGATTGGTTTGTAACATTGAAATTTAAACGATTTGATTGATATAGAAAAATTTTCAACGATTTTTTTCTTCATTTGCTAATTTTAATAGAAAATTGTCATCTTCTTGAACGTAATTTTACCGTACGATTCCGTTGTCTATTGGATAATACATCAGGATTTTTGGTTAGTTTTTTTTTTGGTTTTTATTTTTCCACAATATATTTATTCCAATTGAAATTGTTTTTTTTAAATTGTTTATTCTCAACATCATTTTTTATTATAAAGCGTTTGGATGTACGTGGCCGAATCAAAGTATTACATGGTCAAAATCATAAAAGTGAAGAACCACCAATGGCATTGTTTGCCGTTTGTACACCATTCGGTCCACCATCATTATTGGAAATGCCAGCCAATGAAAAAGCATCATTTAAATCTAAACATAAACTTGATTTTTCAATGGTCTCAATGGAACCTAGAGGCCGTTCATTGCTTGGTTATAATGAATCCGATATAGCTAATCGCGGTGGTTATGATCTCATCCATCAGGACGATCTCTTCTTTGTGGCAAGCGCTCATCAAGAATGTAGGTTTTCTATTTTTTTTCTATTTTCATATTTAAATATTCAAATTCTTTCATTTTTTTTTTCAGTACTCAAAACTGGAGCTTCAGTGATGATCGCATATCGATTAGTGAGTAAAGATTGTCTCAAATGGCAATGGCTTCAAACTAGTGCACGTCTAGTGTATAAGAATAGCAAACCGGATTTTATTCTTTGCACACATCGTCCATTGATGTAAGTTAATTGATTATACAAATAACATCAATTAATTAATTTAATCTTTCATCCACAGGGAAGAAGAAGGTCGTGATCTATTGAGTAAACGAACCATGGATTTTAAGGTGACCTATCTGGATGGTGGACTTGGAGCCATCACTGTTAATAGAACTAATTGCAGTACCAGTAATGGTGGATCACAAACAAATTCATGTAATTTTCTCAACGATTCTAATGCACAATCATCATCTTCAGGTGCCACAACGACTACAAATAAAACAGCTAATGATAGTCCTACTGGTAAACAAACTAAATCATCGAAATCCGAACGATCAACATCTCGATCATCATCGAGAAATACAAATAGCGTCAACAGTGTTTGTGATGCCAATGGTAATGCAACCAGTAATGGTAGTCATTCGGCAACCAAATGTAACAATGACAGCAATACAAATGCTAGTAAATTACGATATCAGGCTGCCGATTCAACTAGTGGAAGCAGCCATAGTGATAGTCAAAGCCAAAGTCATAATCAACGAAATTCTCGATCGAACAATAATACTAAAGGATACATGACTGCCACAACAAACAAGTCATTAAAATCCTCATCATCATCATCACTTAAATCATCAGCCAAAAAGAATAAATCATCATCCACAAACATGTCATCATGTATGTCTCGTTATGAATCGCCCAATTCATTTGCGATGACATCAAATCATACAAGCAGTATTAATAGTCAGCATTATCTTTCAACTCCACCATTGGAAGCAAGTAATGTGTTTGATCGTAATAACAGTCAAGACAATCTCAAAATAACCGGTGATCGTAATGTACATTTTGATTCAACTATTGCGACCATTACTAACCATGCAAATACAAGTACAACTAGTCTAGAAATATCGGATATATCAAGTGCAAATATTCGACCAACAACATCAAATTATACCAATTCAAGTGGTGGCTGGTCATCCGCTATTCATCATCATAGTAATCCCTATTCGGCACTGCTAGATGAATCAGGAAGTTTACATTTAGCAAGTGAAGCACCTTCACATTCAATGCTTGGACATCAGCATACAGCCACATCTGCATATCATCATCATCATCATCATTCTGGTCATCCACATTCTTTATCGATTGGTGGATTAGATTGTGGTACTGCAGCAGCTGCAGCAGCCGTTGCGGCTGCTGCATATAATGCTGCACATCATAATCCAGCAACGGTAGCTACATCAACACCGCATCAGCCATATAGCCATCATCAGACGATTACATCATTGAATAATGATTCTCTAACACCATCATCATCACCGTTACATCAACATCGCCAACAAACACATCATACAGAAACTGGTCCAGATACAGTCGATACGGATTCAACTCAGCCAAATTATGCTGGTAGTGTTTCTTCAGCTTTAAATATTGCTTTAACATCATCTGAATCACCAAGTACAACCGATGTTTCAATTTCGGTGACTGCATCAAATGATGTTGAACATAATGTTGGCCTTTTGAGTCGTGCACCAACTACATCTTTTTTTAGTGCAGAGAATCTACTCAACTATTCTTCGACCACTCGACATAATCAATCAACAAATTATGGAACTGGCAATGCTTGTTCTTCGACTTCCGAAACAACAGGCAATGATATCTATGCTGTAGCTGCAGCTGCAGCTATACATCAACAACGTCATGGCCAATATGTTATGGGTGGACATACAGCTGGTAGTCATCCTTATACTCATCATCATTATGGAACGGCCGCTAGCTCTTATCATCATCAATTACATCAAAATTCCGGTATGGCTACTTCGAGTCATCATCATCCACATACTCATACATACAGTCATGATAATTTGACAAACGATGATGGTAGCACAGCAAATCTTAGTGGTGGTTATCTTAGAAATCCGGTTACTGGTTTTATGTATTCAGATACGTTTTCTGGTTTTCATGATGCAAACAATAGCACAACAACTACAACAACAAATCCATATCGATTAAGTAGTTCATATAACTATGGTCATCATCATCATCAAAACATGTCATCATTAAGCGGAAGTGAAGCGTATTCAATACACTGTAGCGGTACCGTTGCACATTCTCGTAATAATCATCATTCATCATCATCATCATCATCATCAACACATCCACATTTAACATCATCGTTGTCCAATGGATCTGAACATTCAAATTCAACAAGCACATTTGGTTCAGTATATGGAACACATTCGCATCCACATCTTGCATTTGCCGCACATCCAAGTTTAGCAGCGGCAAGCTGTTCAACAAATGAAATTAATGCCCATCAATCGTTTTTCAATGCAGCTGCCGCTCTAGATCATTCAGGTCATCATCATCATCATCAACATTCACATCCACATCAAACGACTGATGCATTTGCTGGTAATTTTAATATGCATGTACCACTGTGGAATGGTCTTGGTATGTTATCTTCAGCATCATCTGTTTCTGCGACCACTACCAATAATCATACGCCAATAGTCACTGATTTTTGTAATGGAAGTTCATTTTCATCATTTAAAACATCACCACTAAGTAATAATGATAAACAGGAAACAGATGATGATCATCCTGCACATCAACATCATGATGATCAACAACAATCAACGGGAAATAAAATGGATCAATATTTTAAGAAACGAAAATTAAAACATTGTACAGCAAATTCATTGTCTATTACATTGAATAATACGAATGGTCAACATCAAGGCTCGTCTTCATCAACAACAACAACAACAACAACAACATCATCATCGGGCATTGTTCATTTAAATCATAATCCAATGAGCGCTGATACACCTCCAGCTTCCTCTTCGTCATCTTCTTCAAGTTCATCGACAACATTGATTGATGAATACAATCTAAATGGTAATGATGACAATGGCCGTAAACGACTTCGGTCATCGGATTCAATTCTGGAACACAACAACAATGATGATAACAATAGCCAACCAAATCCATTACTTTGGAATTCATTGATGGCTTCCACTACTTCAAACTCTTCACCATCAGCGACTATGCGGACAGCATGTACAGCTACAACAACATTGGATTCAAATAATAATAAATCAATCACATCAGATACATTAAATATTATGGGTCCAACAACACAAACATCAACATTATTATCATCATCAATGATAACACATTTACAAAGTCATCAACAATCTATGATTCCAAGTGAATGTTTTCTATCACCATCATCGACAACCTCATCGACATCATCATTAATAGCAGCCAATTCTGGTAGTAATAATCATCTTGAATCATCATCATCATCATCATCGGCAACAACACCGTCTTCGGTTCCTTATTCATTGGTTGTAATTCATGATCAAAATACGGCAGCACCAGTAGCAAATGTATCAACAACAACAACAACAACAACAGCAACAGCATTAGTAGCAACAACTCCTCCTGCATCATTATCAACAATAACATCATTGATCGATGCTACAAATACTACCAATATTGTATCATTGGATATTGAAGCCAATTGATGATGAATGAATAAAATAAATTTCATGAGAATTCATTATAATCATTAAAAAAAAAAATTCCATTACATAATTGATATGCGCATAAAATAACACCCTCTTTCAGATATATATATATATATATATAGATATCTAAACCATCATCATATTTACAAAAAAATAATAATAATTTTGTATTATAAATCATATATATAATATAATTGCTCTTAGCATCAGTTTTTTGTGTTTTTCTATCCATTATTATCCGAATCCTGATTTTCTTGACAAAAAAAAAATCTGGATCTAATTTTCATTTTTTTTTGTTCCATTCTGAAAGTATAAAAGAAAAATTTGATTCAATCAAATTTCCAATTTATATAATCAAACTAAAAAAAAAATGCTCATCATGAATCATTATATAGATTTTATTTTGTAGCTTTAAATTACAACAACAACAACAGCAACAACAAATTTCACAATATTACAATTTTTTTGAATTAATCAAACTATCCATCTATTATGAATTTTATCAATCCAAATCTGTTTTTTTTCTTGGTATTCTCTTTTTTTTCATTCTGATCTTTAGAGTCTTCGAATATTATTTATATGAATGATTTTCCTGACGAATAAACACACACACACACACACAATTTCATACATTCAAACTGATATATATTAAAGAATCTCTTTTGTCCACCATACCATAATTTACCTATTATTATTGTATTCTTCATTTTGAAATGTGTATATTATATAATGATCATCATCATCATTAATAATCAAATCAAATTAATCATAAAAATAAATATATAATCTCAATGAAAATGATAATAATTTGAGAATCCTGAATTTATTGATTTCATTTATTTATGAAATTAAGGCAGCAGCAGCAGCAGCAAAAAAATATGATCATGAGTTAAAAATTAAAATTTGACAAAATATGATAATCAATCATAAATGGAAAGCAATGTGGGCATAAATATAAATATATATAAATATTATGAAATCATCACTGAAATGAAAGTGAAAGAAAAAAATGTTCGTAAATTGATGAGTGATAAATTTTTGTTTGTTTGTTTGTTTCGTAAACTAAATGTTGTCACAATTATTAAGGCGATAATTTTGTAGAATATATAAAGATTTTGTATCAGTAATAGCAACAATAGTAATGTCTAAAGAAGATTCCTTATATAATGGTGTAAATGTTTCACGACAAATATCATTATCATTATCGGATAGTTGAAATTCATTTGAATTATCATCATCATCATCATCATGATCATCAAAATTGTAGCCATTATGACTTTGTGGTGAAAAAAATCCCGAATTTGTCATATTTGAATTATTAGCATGATGAACGAATAAACGTGAAACCTCTCCATGTGTAATAAATGTTTGTAATAGTGTGCCATCGATTGAAAGCCAAAGTTTGATTGAATCAGCAGCTGAAATGATGAATTGTTGATCAGGTGTAATAGCTAAATGTTTAATCCATGAGTCTTGTGAGTGTTGAACTTTCCATTTTGGATCAATATTCATATCCAATGGACTTTCTTCTAATGGTTGAAATTGTTGAGAATCAAAAAGATAGATATTACCATTATCACTGCCATAGACAATAAATCTTGTACAAATTCGACAACATCGAGGTATTTCATTTTTGAGCGTTACCGATGATCTTGGGTCTAATGAGGAATCAGTCAAATGTAATAGTAGTAAACGATGTTCAGCAAATGTAATGGCGATTAAATAATCACCATCTAATAAACATGAATCGATATCTGTTATTTTAGACCTAAATTTAAGGCAGTATAATTCTTCCAATGAATCTAAATCAAAAATAATAAAATCCGAATCAGTAGTCAAAAATATCATCAATTTTGATGATATGAAATGAATTGATTCAAAGGAATAATTTTCCGATAAAATTTTTTGATTATTATATGTATAATAATTAATCATTTGACCGATTTCATTGTCGATTCGATATAGATTGCTTGATTTTTTTGACATAGCCACCAATCTTATAGTATTATCATTATTGGTTTCCGGTAAAAATCGGCATTCCAAAATTTCTTCCGAATCATGGCGAGATGAAAGCAATTGTCCTTGATGATGATCATAATAGAAAATTCGTCCACAATTTGTACCAAATATTGATCGATTTCTCTTCGATATATCACAACATAAAATATTCGTTGCTGGCTGAGGTAAATGAAAATCATTATTGTCATTGTCATTTTCAACAGAATGTAACATTTGCTTTAGCTTCTCTTTGAATTCTTTATCTTCTTCACTAATTTTATCATGAAATAGGCGCAAAAATCCTTTCTTGTCGATAGTTAATACACTAAGAATTGATTCATCGTGATTAAAAATAGCAGCAAAATCATCTTTCAATTCGACAACCGATGTAATTGGTATGCCCTGATTTTTCATGAAAATTCAATTATCATAAAAATTAAAAAATCATTAAAATAAACAAACCTGTTCTACATCCCAAAGTGTAATTTCATTTCTAGAATTCAATGCAAATAGACATTGTTCTTTCATAGAAAAGCATAAAGTAACAATAGATGAAAGTGTATGAAAACAATGGATTGTTTGTGAAATTTTACGATTCCAAAGATAGATTTCATTACGAGTTGTCTCAAATCCAGCAATTCGTTTGCCATCAGAAGAAACGGCACAAATAGAAATATATCCAGAAGCTTTTCCCGGTAATGCATATAGAAATGAAACATCCTTTTCTGTTCGTTCGGTTTTTTTCTTTTTACGAAATTTACTAAACATTGGCAGTTTGATATCCCATTGGAAAATATTTTTGTCTATTATAAAAAAATGGATGATTAAAAAAAAGTCAATCAATTTAGAATCAATTTTACATACCACTTGATGTGAATACGGAAATTTTCTTAGATTTGTGACGTAAATTGAACACAGCATTATGAGCCACTTGATTATGTTCCAATTTGGTAACCAATGAAGGTTTAATTGAATAGTCGCTATTATTCAATCCAATATTCATGGAATAAACATAAACCATTTTTTCAATCAAAAATAGAAAATAGTGATTATCAGAAGAAAAAGAACAACAACTGACACCACTTAGAAGATCATCTGGGTTGGGTGATGAATATAGCTGACGTCCATCTATTGAAAATATATAAACAAATCCAGTACTGGTTCCAAGCAATAAATATCGATTATTAGCCGATATATGGCCACATTTTAATGCAATCGATGTAGAATGATCACCGATTGAATCAGATTTATATTTTGAGATATTAGGTTCTATTGTTTTATAGGATATTAAATGAATATCTCTTCCTGAATTGTGTCGTCGTCTGCCTTCAAAATGATTATTATTATCGCTGACAAGATTTTGATTATGACTTAAACGATTTGAAAGGCTACCAGTCATTCGCCACACAATGGCTGTTCCATCATCCGAAGTGGTTAGAATATAGTGACCATCAGGACTGAAAGTACAATGGTTGATTGTTTGATTGTGATTTTTTTCCGAACAAATATTTTCACCAGTTTTAGAATTCCATAAATTCAATTGACAATCATTCACAGTGACAATACTATGGCAATCGGGTGACAATGCAGCATTATTTGTATCAGGAAAACATTTAAAGTTCATTTTTTTGTGCTGATTTTCCAACACGAAATTCTCCTTATTACACCAATCAAAATAAAAATTAGAATTTGAATGAATCATTCGACGAGCTTCATTGTAAACAATAGAATCATTTGATTGACAAAGAGCGACCTGCAATAGATCGACTTTTGGATCACAAATATCAGTGTTTGAAGCTATAAATTTTTGAAAATCACATAGCTTTTTTCGTTCAGAAATAAAATGGCCATAATTATGAAAATCACTAAGTACATGACTTTGACCAACTGAACGAATCTTTTTTTGTAAGAAATTCAAATCTAGAAAAATCTTTTCAAAGAGATCATAGCGACCAGATGAGTAAATGTGATAGGAAAGACAACGATAAATGTATTTATCTTCGGGTAATCTTGAAAAATCATAATCCAAATTTGTTGATGATTGACGACAATCTTTAAAATATGAATCTATCAATTTTCCGTGACGTATCTATTAACAATGAAATGAAATAAAAATTAATTGCTATATATATCTGTTTATTCAATGAATGACATACCTCAAGTTGTTTTTTTTCTTTCAATTTTTTCATCAGATATGAAGCAGTTAAATCATGAACAGTAAACAATTGATTTGTTATATCAGTTCTTGCCTGATTAATTGTATGTTTTTTGATCAATGATTTTTGAAATAATTGTTCCAGATAATTTGCTGTTATAAATTTATTCGTACCCCAAATGATTTTCAAAGCGTCGAAAGAAACAGGCTCAGGAAATATACCAAAATCATAGAAACAATCGACTAATTTTTCAATTTTCATTGCTTCAATTGTTAAATCTAATAAATAAAAACTTCCGGCAAGAAAAGAATCTTCCTCTGTAAGTGTTTTATGCAATTCTTGCCAATGTTTTTCTAATTCATTCATTTTTTGTGAATCTTTATATGAGTAATCATGAATAAATGGAATCATGTAATTGGCGATTAATGGTATACAATATGGAAGGCCATCAAAAGCATCAAATAATTTAGTTAAATGATTACTACTATCTAATAGATATTGAAATTTGAATTTGTCATTGTTGATACATTTAATCAACAATTCATTACATTCAGAATGTGATAATACGTTGCCATGTTCATCTTGTGTTGATATAAATCGAACATTTGGCAATTCCTTTGGTATGATACCTTTATCGAATGTAGTGATAACAATTGGTATATCGAATCGAAAATATTTAAATATTTCATGTGATTGAACATCATCCAATACGAGTAACGATTTAGGATGTTTACGAAAATGTAAATTCAATTCCAATTCAATGTTTTCTAATTTTTCTGGTTTAGTTTGATTCTTTTCATGGAAATATCCAATCGATTGGAATAGAAGCTCTAATCTAGTGTACAATTCTTGACGAAGTATCTCTTCACTATCAATATTTTTATTTTTTGTTATAGTTAAATTGCCGACATTAATCCAATAGATACCATCGGTAAAATGTGAATGATCAGATCGACATATTGAACTTTCGGCTAACACGGTTTTACCGCTACCTTTTCGGCCATAAATTACTAGCCATCCTTTTCCTATATATATATATCAAAAAAAGTTATTCATTCATTCTTATCTCAAAAATAAACATACCATTTTCAAACATTTCCTTTAGATGTGATTCAATTTTTCGTTGTTCCGTTTTACGATCAATTTTATATGAGATTGGTTCGGGAAAATTTATTAATAAATTTTTAACTTTATTCTTATTGTCTATCGATTCTGGTGATTTTTGATTATTAACTTGTTCAGATTTTCGTTTTAGTTGTGTTTGCCATTCATCAGCCAATGATATGTACCAATCATCAAAACGTAATGCTTCAATGATTATCGATAAAACTCTTGAATTGCATCGTATTTTAAAAAGAAGCTTATCGAATATCCATTCATTTAGTTCTTCATAACCAGAAAGACGATCAGAACAATTATCTAGATCACGGGAAGCACGTATTATTGAATAATCAATTTGATCATAATCGCTGAATATATCAAATTTGACCAAAGTTGGTATGAAAAAATCGGGAAATATTTGCTTTATAAATTGTTTTCGTTGTTCATTCCAAAATTTTTCAATCAAAATCAAATCGATTGAATCGAATAAATTTTCTGTTTTCAATGGTAATGATGAAGTAGAAGAATTTTGATTCTGTTGTTCATGATAAATACCATTTTGTTGATTATGGTGATTACCATTTTTACCATTTTCAATTGGACAAAGCGTGGATGGATCTAAATCATCATCCTCATCATTATCAACTGGTGGATGATCGGGCATTTTCTTTACTGTTGTTGTTGTTGTTGTTGCGAATGGTGGTGTCGTTGACAATAATTAAAATTCATACAACAGGTGTGAAATCAATTTTAGACTATATAAATGACAGCCAGAAAAAAAGGAGATAATTTAAACAAAAAACATGATTCAATCGATTTTAAATTTAGAAAAAAAAACAACACAAAAAAAAGTTATAACTCTAATTATCGCGCGCACATTCGATCCACAATTTATTTGTCACACATATCATATCATATTCTTGATGATGCAGACATTTTTTTTCACTCTTTTAATTTTGGTATTGTTTTTTGTGTTTTGGCAACGTGCATAGCGATGACATACAAAAAACAGACATTAAAACCAAAGAGATCATCATATTGTATTTTGTATGTGAATACAATGTTTTTTTTTTGTTTGTGGTAGCACAATTCTGGATTTTTTTCTCTGTGGTTTTTAGTTTTTTTTTTTTTTTTACACTACACTTATGTTGTTGACTACTACTTGTAGCCAAACAAAAAAAAAAATAATAATTGCTGATGATGATAATGAAAGTAGTCGATAATTTTTTTTTTTTCCTTTTTTATTTTGTTCAAAAGCGCCACTAAAAAGATAATGATGATATGGTGGTGGTGGTGGTGGTGGTTTGTGGTAGTTCAAGGTGGTGGTGGTGGTGGTAGTGATAGTGGTGTTAGTAGCTGATGGCCAAACTGCGCTAGTGTGTGTGTGTGTTATATGAGTGAATTGTGGCATGATCGACAAGTTCCAATAAAATAAAAAACGTTTCTGGTACGTTTTTTTTTTGCAGCATTATTCATATATATACATTAACAACAAAAAAAAACCACTGTAAAAAGGCTAAATTCTTCAAATAATAAAAAAAATTGACCAGTATTGTAAATGACATGATCTTTGATTTTGATCATGTGCAGAATATTATAACCAACAAAGAAAAATATGACCATATTCAGTTAAAAAAAATGGTCGTTTGATGGTCATCACATACCGTATGCAACATACTCATGTGATTCAAGATATATGGCGCCATCATTTGTTTGCAATGATAATTATCATATTTGAATTCTTGGATCATTTTTTTTCTGAATAGAATCGATATTGTTTTCACTTTTTTTTTCTCAAAATAAATGTTCATCATCTAACAATTCTGAATTGGAAAATTTCATTTTCCAATTCTGATCTGTTGTTGTTATTGTTGATTTTATTCAATCAAATACTAAGACATGTGCGTGTGTGTGTGTGTGTAGGTTGAATCCTGGCTACATAACAAGTATAGTAGTAAATGTTAATATACGTCATTGACATCAATCATTTATATCATGATAGACATGATTCAGACATGATTTCAACAACAATAATGATGATGATGATGATGATGTTTGGTCAACAACCTAAGATATTTTATTTTTTTCCATAGTAGAAATTGATTGCTATTTTATAATTTAAAATGCGTAGGATGCGTAAATACAAATACGTGACAAATTAAAAAAAAAACTGGCAAAAGAAACAATGAACAAACACAGGTAGTAATTAGATATATAAAGATTTTAAAACGAATGAAATAAAATGAAATCATTATATATTATTATTATGAAAGGAAAAAAAAGAAATTTTGACAATCAAGATGTTTAATCTAGTCATATTTTTTTGGAGGGGTAAGAATAAAAAAAAAATGGTGAGTAATCAAAACAGCAGCAGCAACAACAACAATAACAACAACAGAGAGACGTGTAATTATGATGATTTCATTTTTGATCAAAATTCATTATCATTATGCTCGTGGATCACTATGGTGATCCAAAATTATATATTACAATAATTACATTAGGTAGTCAAGTATTTTTTTTTTGTTTTTTCTTTCATTTTCTTTATTTGCAATACATTTACAATGATAAAAATGTTTGGTATCCAGTTAGTTGCTTTTTTTTTTTTTTTTTTGCCACCACATTTATTATTATGATGATCATCATCAACATCAAGAGCAAAATAATTGAACCAGATTCTTATGATCAAACATTTTGGATTGCATCATCATTATTCTTTCGTTATTTGTAACTTTTTTTTTAGTTTGATACATTGATCAAACCAAAAATTAAAAAAATGTGTACGAACCTAACATTGGCTAACTTATTGTATGTGGTAACCATTAAATTGTTGTTATGTAACATAGCAAAATAGGTTATGGGTTATTGTCATAAATATTAATGACATAATGAAAATGCAAAGTAAGAAGTGAGAATTCGAACGAAAAATAAGAAATGAAAAAAAATGAAAAATTTACCATTTAAAAAAAAATGGATTTGTATTTACCTGGGCGTTCTAAGTGTTAGAAATCGATAAAAAGGATAATGTCAATTTTTTCTGGACAAGTTTTTTTGTTGTTTCTTTTGGTATATTGCAATTCTTTGTATTCCACAATCTATATAGAGCTTGCCATCTTACCATAATCATTATCATCGATAACGATGATAATGATAATAGCCATGACTCATGATATATGACGATCGTCAATTGTGTCATTAATTTTTGGGTGTGTGTACGTACATTTGTGCGTGTAAAACATTTTTGGGTGCGTTCAAAGATTTCATCATAATTGTGTTAATTTTTTTGTTTTGTTTTGTTTAAATGAATCGAAAAGAAACCCATATTGAACCCATACTGAATTATTATTATTATTCATCCAATCAATTTTTAAAATCATCATCATCAGATAATGAATGAATGAATGAAAAAAGTGAATAACAAAAAAAAAAAAAAACAACTTACCAGGTTGGGTTTCTCATTCGATTCGACTATACTGTGTAGTCGTACAAAATAATTGACAAACCAGTGACAAATAAATAAAGAATAAGAAGAAGAAGAAGAAGAATTCACTATTATTATTGATGATTCGAAAAAAAACATTTCAAGGATTTTTTTTCTCTCTTTCACTCTCTCTTTCTCTCTGTTTTAGGTTGTCACAAAAATTTAGATGATAATGATGAGACCAATGAACAATTAAATTATTCCGGATATATCATGAGGTTAGCAAAAAAAACAAAAAAAAATCGACCGAATCAAGGATACACACGCACACACACACATGCGATAGAGTAATTTTTCGTTGCGTTTTAATTATCAAGTTCAAGACACACACACACACACACACACACACACACACAGAGACACAAAATCAATTTATATGGATTTATAAATCAAAAAATTGATTTATAGAATGACTATAAGCAATAATGAGAGAGAAGAAAGTGACAATGATCATTTTTGGATCAGCAATTCTTTTTCTAATATTACACACACACACACACACACACACAAACACATCGTCATCATCATCTCATTTGCAGTTCATTGTCATCATCATCATAATCATAATCATGTGATCGCATGATTTTTAGTGGTTTGGCTAGTTTTGCTATTATTTTTTTTTAAACAACAAAAAAAACGGGAAATGAAAAAAATTTTTTCGATTCAATCGAAATGGATTATAGAAAAAAAACAACAACAAAACAACAACAACAGCAACAACAACAACAAAAATTTTCACATTTCCATACACACACACACACATTCGTATGAATATTGAAGGATAAAGAAAAAAAAAAGACAATGTGAATAATGATGAATCTGATGTGTGTGTGTGTGTGTTTAAATAACTGTTGCCATTACATTGTGTGTGTGTGTGTGCAATATTTTTTTTGTCCTTGAATTCATGTATAATAACATACTAATATAATATATATACATTTTTTAATTATTTGTAAAATATAGTTAGAATATAAATGTGATGATGATGATGATGATGATTTCATATATATTGGCCAATGGCCAATATGGATTTAGATTTTTTTCGAATGAAAATTCTTCATTATTATTCTGATATAATAATCATTATATTTTCGTTCATATATCATGTATCTTATATTACTTACTCTCAAAAAAAAAAACTAAATAAAAATATTTGCATTAGTTTGAATTTTTTTTTTTTTTTTTTTATTTTGAAAATGGATTTCATTGTATCGATCAAAGGTAAAGAGGGAGAGGGAGAGGGAGAGATGGAGAGAAACAAAGAATTTTCTTTACCTTTACTTGTTTTTTATTATTATCATTATTATTATTTATATGATTGTATTTCATCATTACAGTAAACCAACCAACCAACCAACCAAACAACCGTCATTGTCATAGAAAATGATGATGATGATGATGATGATAATAATGATTATTATGATCCACCAGGTTGTGCCTTTTTTTCCCCTTTCGTTTTTTTCTTTTCTCCACATTCTATACAACTGTTCTAATAGTACTTCGACGTTTTACTTGAATTTCCAATTTTTTTTTTTTTTTTTAGTGCTCGTGATTATATCATGGCCCAAAAAACACAAACACACACACACACACACACACACACTAATGACGAAATATTTAACCAAACTTTTAAAAGTTTTGTTCTCTTTTTTTTCTTGTTATTATTGTTGTTGTTGTCGTCGTTGTTGTCGTTGTTGTTGTTGTTGCTGGTTATTGTTGACTATGGCGACCATTGTCAATGTATGCCCAATTTTTATTTTTGAATTATATAAATTTTACAGTTATAAATATTGGATCAATTTTTCTCCACTTTTTTTCTCCTCCTCCTCCTGTCTATCATTATCATCACAATAATATTGTCATATATTCGTTCATTGCCAAAACTACAACTATACTGAATTTTAGAATTCGATTTTTTACAAAAAAAAAATTCTCTCTTTGCTGCAATTCATAGAGCAGAACGAAAAAAAAATCAATCAATCTCACAAGACGATAATGGTGGAAAGTTTTTTTTCTTCTTCTTCTTCTTATTCTTTTGTTTTCATTCTCTTCTTGGAGCAACCGGAGAAAACCCATTCTGCGTTTGTTTTTTTTTTTTTTTTTGTTCGTTGTCAAAAATTTTATTCTCTTTTTCATTACTATAGTAGTGTTCATGGTACGCTTTTGACAGAATAATTTATTCGGAAAAAAAAAAAAAAAAAAAATTGAAGCGGTTTTTTCTCTTGTATCAGTTATTAAACTTTTGTTCGCCTATTCATTCAAACAAATATTTGTTTGTCTGCCAAAGATACTGTTTGATATTTGCATGTCGGTGTTTTTTTTTCTTCTTCTTCTTCTTCTTCTTCTTTATTATTTAACATCAAGAGTTAGATTATTTTGCATTAAGAAATACATTGTTTGTTTGTAGAATTTTTTTTTTTTTTCGTTTGAATCATCATCCAAATTTTTCTGGCCATTTCATAACTGATCGATAATCAAAATTAAAATTGAATCCAATTGTTAATCAATTTTAGAATATGATACTGGTTTTATTTTCATAATAATTTGTTCAAATCAAATCAAATCAAATCAATAATTACCAACATGAGTAAATTTCATATGAGTTCAACGGATTATGGCCAAAATGTTGGCAGTAAAGATAAAATTATTCTGGCCGAAGGTTATCTTCCTACTAATAAAATATTCAAAATTGATCAATATCTACGTATGTTTGGCTTTTTATCGCAAAATATTGATGAATATATTCAGGGCAATATTCGTGGAAAGCTTAAAAATCCATCAAAACGGATGTATAGTTTTTTGGTACTGAGCCTATTGTCATTTGTTTGTTTCCGTAACATAATACTTGTATTTACTGAAAATGTTACTTTACGTAAATTGCTTGGTGAACCACAAAGTGGTAGGCCAGCCGATCAAATATTGATGTCGATGACAATCTGGTCAATATATCTTGCCCTATTATGTAGTTTATTTTATCGTGGCGAAAAGAATCAGCTTTTATCATGGCTAACACCGTTTGCTGTATTTAAAGGACTTATTTCACCATCAAGTATGGGTCTCGATGTTGGCATGACAGACGAATGGTTCCGTAAAACAAAAAAAATGTTGAATAAATCGATTCTTTTGACAAATCTGCAAGCATTGCTTTGTATGTCAATGTTCTGTATGATGGCATATCGTCGTCATCATACACATTCGGTACCATCAACCAGTTCACTATTTTGGACTATAATACTTTGTCTTTGGACATATTTTGGTAGCGCATTAATATTTGTCAGCTATAGTTACTTTTATACATTAGCCACCTATTTTCGGCTTCGTTTCTGCAAAGTTAATAATGATATTGAGACAATTATTTCACCGGAAACACGTCTCAAACCTAATGAACGTTGTGCAATGCTTTATCATATTCTTTGTGAACACAATAAAATTTGTGTTGAAATACATGGTAATAATGTTATTAATTCTTCAAGAAAAATCTTATAAAAAAAATAATTTATGTAAAAAAATTTCAGAATATAATCGTTTCTGGTCCAAATACATCATGCAAACATATTTTCTGTTTGTTGCAATCATTTGTTATACTTCATTCCAGGCATTCTTCACTTATAATACATATACTGTTCGTACCGTTATGTTTGCCATGACATTAGAGGCTAGCTATCTTCTTACACGAGTATCTATTGCAGCATCACGTATTGCAAATGAGGTATATATAGTGTGTAATATAATAAATTTTTCATTTCAATATAATAATGATCAATTTTTATCAATAAATTTTAGGCACATGCATCATATGGCCGATTGATTCGTGTTACATTCAATAAATATCCAGTTGAATTACAGATTCAGGTAATTATTAGTATTATCCATAAAAAAAGAGAGAGAGATAGAGAAAAAAAACTTTTTCCAAATATATTATCTAGCTTCGCATGTTCATTCAACGACTTTCCGGACCAACAATCGGATTCTATTGTTTGGATATATTTGAAATTACATATTCAACATATGCATCGGTATGTATATTTATCATTCAAATTCATTCTATTAATTGTTTTTCTATAAAAAAATAATATTCTAGATTATCGCCGCCCTTGGCCAGAATTTCTTATTGATCATTGATTTTGTACGATCATATGCGCAATTAAAAGAAGAACATTATACATCAAGTGATCTAGATATAAGCGATGTATTCAATTCTACATTAGATTTGAATTCATTGATCAATGATGAAATACAATTTGTTCAAGAAAAATTGCTTTAAAATAAACAAATGTGTGTTTAACGATGGAAAAAAACCCATCAATTCCATCATTCACCATACAAAAATATTGGAAATGGAACACAAGCTGAAAAAAAAAAAATCATCATCATCATCATCATCATCATCTAAATTACAGTTATTATTAGTTTCACAATTGTTTGCACCGGTTAAAACAGAAAACAAAAACAACAACAACAACACAAACACATGGATCAATATAATATTTTACATATATTTGCACTATTGCTATTTATATCACTGGTATATGATTGAAATGAATGGAAAATCAAATTTATTATTTTAAATTATTTAATGATTCAATGATAAATGTTATTATTAAGAACAAAAGTAAGTAACAAGACAGCAAAACCAAAAAAAAAAACATATAGAAAACAGAAAACAAAATATTCAATAAAATTCAATGAAAATGGTCCGAAAATGTTTCGAGAAAATGGGTTTAATTTGATTTTTGTCGTTGTTGTTGTTGTTTTCTCTTTTCAATCCAATATAAGCAATTGCTTATCATGATTTTTATGACATGATTGTTCCATCACACAATCAAACCAATCATAATCAATCGATTGCGTTGTATTTGAATCATTTGTTGTTGTTGTTGTCGTTGTTTCGCATTGTTGTACCGGACAATTATTCTTCATTGTCGTTGTCGTTGTCGTTGTTGTTGATAATAGTACTTTCTGTTGTAACCATTTTTCATATGCATTAATAAATGCTTTTGAAATGGTAAATGCAATTAATTTGGCCATTTTTGTTTTATTTGCCATAAATGCATGACATTCATGGCAACCATTATCATTTGTTGCTACAAATGCAATCACACGTTCATATGTTGAATCAACAAAACAATATGATACTCTGATGAATCAGGAAAAAAGTAAAAAAAAAACAATCAAAATTAATTTAATAATGATTCAAAATATATATTACCTATTTAATGAGATCATAATTGATTGATGATCACCATCACCATCATCATTATCATTATTATTGTTTGATTTATTTGTTGATTTTTCAATAATAATCTTATTAGGTAAAATGGATAATGCCATTGATTTGGTACCTTTTAAACGACTCTTTTTATTTGTAATTTTAGATATAAAAAAAAAAAAAAATTCAACATTGAAAACAAACAAAAAATAAAAAACAACAACAACATACCATGGCCATCATTTGTCTGATTGCTTTAGCATTGGTTGCAGCACCGGATGGACTTTCCACCGGGATATAACCAAGATATTGACAATAAAATGTTGATCCATCATTTGGTAGTTCTTCAAATAATTCTAATTTGACAACAAAAAAAACGAATTTAAAATCAATAAACAAATTTTGATGTTACTTACTTTCATGTTTAAAATTTGTATTTAACTCTGAGATTTTATCATTTTTCGTCGATAAACGTATTGCTTTCCAAATTGAAGTCATTTTTTGATTGTTACCTGATGATTATGATGATGATTTTTCAAAATCTTCACCAAAAATTAAAAAAAAATTGCGTCTTTTTATTTATATTTTGTTGTTGTTTATGTTGTTGGTGTTTTTGTTGCTGCTGCTGCTGTTGCTGTTGCTGTTGCTGTTGCTTTTGTAATAAGATCATCCAGTATTACCAGTATTCATCAGCAACCAAAACATAAAGAAAAAAGATTGTAAATATCTACTATTATCATACTAACCAACATAATAACCAATACCACTACCGAACATCAATGTTAGAGTGTGAAAAAAAGAAATTATGAATATTCAATTCAACCAAAAAATTATTATCATCATACAAATCGCTGGCAATTCAATTTGAGAATCAAATTTAAATTTAAATTTTCTTGATTTCTTAATAGACACTGTATGCTATAACATTTATGATTTATGTCTGATTTATTCATTGATGGTGATGACTTACAAATGATAATAAGCAGCAATATCATCCAGTGAACATCAGCACTAACAACAAGCACCAACAACAACGATGCAACATTCATAATGTTTGCAACAACAACAACAACAACAACAACGATGCGTTTATAATTATTCATTTATTCATCGTTCGTTTATTTTCTTTTCAAGAAAATGAAAACAGCTTGTTAATCATTGATGATAATGAAAATGCAGACGTGCAAAAAAATAAAGCAAGACAACAACAACAAAAAAAGAATAAAAGGAATACATTGATGGATGGAGTGCATATTCAAAAAAAACGTAGAAAACTTGCTTGAAGATCATGGGATTAATATCATCATCATCACCGCCATCAATAACAACAAACCAAAGAAGACAAATATGAACAAAGCAAGCAATAAAATTGATGCGCAGCAAAAAAAAATATATAAATCCTTTACCAAATTATATAAAATGAATGAATGAATGAACAAATAGAACAAAAAAAAAATAAATAGACTTTTTCTTTTATTGTTGGAAAAATCATTTCATCAATAAAAACACAATATGATAATGATTGGGACGAAAAACCCAAATTTTACAACAACATTTAAACCGACATTTTAAAACATATTGGACAATATTGATGATCATATTGTCTAGCAATGATCATCATCATCGTTATTAAACATTTATCATGAAAAATGTGTCGACAATTTGGAAAAATTTTCAATTTTTTCCTAATTTTTAAATCTCCATTATCATTAGACAATAATGATTGATCACAATGATTACATTTCATTATACGTAGATTGCACATCATTCCCTTATTTTTGTATTCATTCATCATCGTTTTGTTTGAATCAATTTTAGTTTGTTGTTCAAGTTCGAGTTGTTGTTTTTGTTCCATTGTGTTCATTGTTTTCACTATTATTTGATCAAAACAATCTTCAAAATTTTTCTCAATATTTCCACTAATTTGATGATTATCATTTCTTTTGATTCGTTGACTAAATTTATTGATCAATAATCTTGTATGATCAACAATAGCTGCGTCCATTATTTTATAGCAAAGTATTCGTATATAAAAATCGATACTGAATGCATATGAATTTTCCGGATTTAAATCTAATATTGTCAATGTTTTTACAATCAATTCATTAATGATAATATCACTATGGCAATGGAAAAGACTGGAAAGTAGAAAAGTTTTTTCAAAAAATTCGATCAATTTTTTCCGATTATTTTCCATTCTTAATAAACACAAACGACATCTATGATCCGATTGTTCAATCATACGATCATATGATTCAGTTGTTGAAGATATTAATTGACAATGTAAATTTTTCAGACAATTTTCCCATTGTATTGATTCATTGATTGGTTTAATTCGACTTTGTTCAATAATTAAACATGGATCATCTGTTAATATAGCCATGAATAAAAAACGATCATCTAATCGTGGTGAAGCAAGCAATAATCGTAGATACATTGGCCAATTTCTTCTAGATTTTGCTATCGAAATCAATTCTTCATATTGGTCGGTTTCAATATTCGAATAAATTGTTTCAAATAATAATTGATCCGATTGATTTTGATCAATACAACGAAAAAAATTGGCAACAGGCAGATCACATTGAGAACAATTATATGTTTCAAATTCTTCTTCTTCATTATGCAATGTTGATGTTAGTTTTAATCTAGATGTTTTTTGTAAAAGTTGATTATATAAGTTTAATAACGATTTATTTTTGGATATAACTGGAATAATTTCAATTTCTTCTTCTTCTACAGGTGTTTCTTGTTCCACACTGTTTGGATCGCTAGAAAATCCACTAGATACAATAGTTGGATGTTGATCAACAACAATATCCATCGATAATAATGAACTTGATTTCGATGATGAATCATTTGATTCTGAATTTCCATGTACCGGTGAAAATGAAAATAAAAAAAATTCTCTCAGATTATACAAAATTTTATCAAATTCATTTGGCTTACTTTTAAAATTCAATGTCATTACAAACATTCGTAACCTGTTTGTTGTTAAATCATTTGTTAGATAGTATGATACATAGATTTCATTTTGTAAACACTTTAATACATCAATACGACCATCAAATTGTTCACTAATAGCCACCAATGATTGATCATGGATATCTATTACATAGATACGACTTTTATCCACATTCTTTGATTCTATCGTCGTGGTTAGTCGTCGTCGTTGTTGTTGTTGTTGCATAGGTTACAAGATAATAATCACAGGAAACCGGATGATACATTAAATAAAGTCGACCAAAACTATGTACTTTTTCGTAATTTAACTGTTTGGAAGAATGTTGAAAATTTTCATGATTCTCAAATATACCGGTATTATCTAGTTATGATAGTTGAAATATAATCTTTTATCATTATCATCACATTAATAACAATAATGTAAAACCATATCATACCATTAAAGATCGGTGTATTATTAGTATTATTATTGTCCATTAACACTGTTGTTGATCGATTGACTAGTTCCATAAATTGATGAGTGAATTCAATTTGTCCAATTTCATTCACTTCCCATAGACGACATTTTGGACGTGATATGAATGTTTTGTATATGAGATCATTATCATAATTATCATCGGAAATTGTTGAAGATTGATCATCATCATCACCATTATTATTATAATCATTATTAATGACCGGTATTATACAAACACCAGGCGGCCTGTTCATATGTACAGTTGATTTACCAACTTGAAAACAATTGGCATCATTAAAATTGAAAAAATAAATACGATTCTCATTTGATGAGAAAGTGAAATATTTTTCACAAACATCAAATTGATTGATTCCGATTCCATTGAGATTAATTAAAATTGTTGGACATAAATGCGGGCCAATGTTGTCAATGGCGTTTGTGGTTGTTTTTGTTGTGGTGGTGGTGGTGGTGGTGATAGCATTAATAACCAATTCATGTACATTACAAAGGACAAATAATTTTCCACTAGTATCGGCTATAAAAATTCTAAATACAAAACAAAAGAAAAAAAAAACAAAAAAATTATTCAACTATAAAAGTGGAAATGGAACAATCTTCAATCAAACAGAAACAAAAAATCAAATCAAAAATGACCAAACCAAAATGAAAACGGAAAGAAAAATCAATAAAACCATCAAATGTTCACGATGATGATGATTCTGTGTGTTTGTGTGCCATTTCATTAGCCATCATCATCTGTAAAACCACGGAAAGGATGACGTAGCGTAAAATTGGTTTTAAACAAATATAGATTTATTAACAATTAGTATATTCGGATTGAAAAGAAAACAGAACAAACTCATGAAAATGTAAATCAGAGATGATGATGATGATGAAACTCGAAACAGTTCCATAATTAAATTAAAGAACACAGCTAAACTAAGCTGTTTCACAACATCATCATTATCATCATCAACATCATCATCATCATTCGTGATTCTAGAAAGAAAATAAAAAGTTTCAAACAATGTGAAAATCGAAAATCGAAATTGACTCAATCTAAATGTTTCTTTTGCTTGCATGTTATTTATCTATGTGTGTCTCTGTGTGTGTGTATATTTTTCTTATATAATAATAATATTAATGACAAAAGAAAAACAAACGAAAAAAAATGAACAATAGATATTGGTTACCGATTACCAAATTCATCGAACCGAATCATATCGATTGGTTCGGTAGTCATTTCACGACAATGATAGATGATACGAAATGTATTGGCCATTGTTGTTGCCGATGATGTCATCTTTGTTCTATTGTTATTAATAATATTTGTCGATAGATTTATTTGATCATCATTATTATCATTATAATCTTCATTAGTTGACATTTTTGGCAAAAACATTTCTACCAGAATTAGATGACCTTTTGTTGTTCCCAATGATAAGATTAAATGGCGCTTAATATTAATAATATTGTTGTTGTTTTTGTTATCATTATTATGACCAACAACAACATCATCATTATTATCAAGAATATTTCGATTATGATGATTGAGTAGATGATTGTTGTCATCATTATCATTAACATTAACATTAATGTTGTTGTCAATATTAACATCATCATTAATGATTCTATTATTTATATATGACCTAAAATTATCATCATTATAATAATAATAATATTGTTGTTGTTGTTGTTGTTCAAATATCGATCCATCATTATCGGCTGTAGTCGATGAATAACTTCCGGTTGATGATTTTAATGAATTATCATTTGATGATAATTGAATGGATATTTGAAAAAAATGTACAGCTGTGACTGTACCAACCAAATCATTGGCTATGATTGTTGTATAATGTGACCAACAATATGATGATGATGATGATATTTGATGTTTGAGAATATTATTATTTTGTTGTTGTTGTTGTTGGTGTTGTTTCATCATCAATATGTTTGATGATGTTGTTGATATTGATGACAATGATAACATTGATGGTGATGGTGAAATTGAATCATATCCTCTTATTGTATTCAGATGTTGATGACATATGTTTGTATTATGATTTAAAATTGATACATGATTTCGAAGAAATATATAAACAGAACCACTGGTTGTTCCTAATGATAATAATGATGATGATGAACATGGCAATGATGATCCATGATGATGGTCATTGTCCTCATTATTTATTCTATATAATAAAGATGATGATGATGATGGTAAATTATAAACATCCCAACTAGTATAACGTAAACGACGATTACGACGATGATGAAGATAATTTTGTCGTTGTTGTTTTTGATTATAATCATGAATAACCGATGTTGTTATTGGCCGTTGTATATCATGATCAAGATCATATATTTCGAAATAAATTTCCGGTAATTCATTATCATTTGTTTCAATTGTTGATAATAATCGATCATCATCATCATCATTTTCTTGATTATCCACAATTGTTTTTTCAGTAGTAATAAATTCATTATTATTATAATTATCTTTATCCGTATCTGCATCATCATCATCATCATTATCAAGATTAATTTGTGAAATTCTTCCATATTCATTATCATCACTATTATTGTTGTTGATGTTGTTGTTGTTGTTGATATTATTACAATTCATATCATCAAACTCCATAACATTGTTATTGGTAGTAAAATTATGATGATGATGATGACGATGTTGGTGCTTGTGATGATGATGATGATCTTGAATTAAAATAATTGTCATATTAAATTGTAGTTAAAATAAAAAAAAAAATTGAAAAGAATTTGAAATTGAATCATACACGTTCAACACTGTTTAAAATCAATATAATAAATCGAAAAAAATTTGAAATTTATTTCTTATATGATCGATGATTTTGTTGTTGTTGTTGTTGTTGCTAGAACAGTGAGCGAGAGAGAGAGAAAAAAAAGATGTAACCATCTCAATGGATGGATTTGTGAGTGAAACAAAAAAAGAAAATGATGAAAAATATTAGCAACAACATTCAACAGATCAATATTGATTGAATTTAAGCACACACACCCACACACACATTTTAGAATGAATGAAAAACTTGTCGTTGTATATAATGATGATAATGATAATTTGATTGATAACAAAAATCTTAGCAACGTTTTCGTTTTCTATTTCAATTTTTGATTGATATATACAAGCAAAAAAAACAGAAGAAACATTTGTCTGGATTTTTTTTTCGCCCGATATATGATTGCCATAGTTATCATCATATCATCGTATTCATTATCATCATCATCATCATCATTATCATTGACCATCATCAGCAGCAAATAATCGTGAAAAATATCAGTGCATTAAATCAATGGAAAAAGGGAGAAAAAAACGCCAACATTTTTTAAGCAATAATAAAAAAAAAATACAAAATGCAATCATGACGCACATTATATTTAAGCAAAAATACATATTGGGTATGTATGAATGGGACCAAAAAAAAAATTATCCATGATTCATAGATATATCGAAAATATTTGTCAATCATCATGCTCAGAAATTTTTTTTTTACAAATATTTCCAAAAAACAAACAAAGAGTTTCTTTATTTTTTCATTTCTTCATTTTTATCAATCAATCAATCATAGATCGTGTTTGTGTGTATTTGTGTGTGTACGTATATATTCGGTAAATGTGATTATGGCCAAATGAATCGATTTTGATTAGCCAATATCATGTATACTTTTATCCAATCGTTTTTTATGTTCATCCGGATAATTACGATAACATGATAATCTATGTATCTGTTCCTGTTCAGTTTTCAATGCAATCTGCATTGATCCATGTTCATCCAATATTGCATGTCCAGTTATTTGATCAACACAATAACAATCAGTATTTGAACATTGTAATGGTAAATAATTGCCATTTATATCACATTGATATTTACTAAATAATTCCGTTATTTTATCACGTTTACCAATGTCACGAATTAGATTTTTATTACGTAGACAGGCTATTCATTTCAAAAGAACCAAACGAAAAAAAAAATTTCATATCATTTCAAGATAAATGAATCAGTAATAATAATAATAATAACATAACATACAACATTGTTGTGTTGAACCAAAATATTGATCAATACGATCGATTCCGTAATCCCATTTTTTTCCATCTATTATTCCATTATATTTTTTACCTTTTTTATTCACGCAATAACACCTGGAATGAAAAAGATTTATTTATTCATTTTTATTTAGATTTGTTATCATTTTGTTGTTGTTGTTGAATGTTTATTTTTTTTTTCTTTGAAACAGGTCCATCATCATCATCATCATCATTAAACATACTTATCATTTTCACATTGTATTGGTGCATATGTACCATCAAGATCACAATTTGGTAAATCGAATGCAATCACATTGAAACCATGTTCATTTTGTAATTTATAATATTCATTCACAGTACGATTATAATGTGAAATACAGCTATCATCGCCACGTTTAAACGGATATCGATGTGAATCTTTTTGTTTTTCGATTCATAGGAATGAAAAAAAATAAATAAGAATAAATGGTATTAGATAAAGGAAACAAGAATCGGTTCTTGTTTTCCGATGCGCGTGTGTGTCTGTGATATATTGTTGTTCATGTCTATTTTCGGCTGAATATTTTTTTTTTTTTTTTTTTTTTTTTGACAAATGGTTTTTCTTCACTTCACAACAATCATGTTTGTTATACAATATTTCTATCTGTCTATCTAACTATCCATCTATCTATCTATCTATCGTGATATGTCAACCGGACATTCAAATGCCCTCAATGGTGTCGAATCAAAAAAAAAAAAAAAAATATGACCAGATTGTACAGTTATTTCTGTCTCTCTTTTTTTTCATTCGTTTGTTTGTTTGAGTGTATATATACACTTACAACATGGTAATTCTGATGCATGTTCCATAAGTACAGGCCTATCTTGTACACGGCCAGTTTTTTCATCAACACAATAAGAATAATTTCCATATGATTGATATGGTTCAAAATTTCCATTCGATTGACAACGTACAAAAAAAATTGGATCCATATCACGATGTTGATTATATTTTTCAATATCCGGTAATATTTCCCAACGTTCATTCTCTTTTAATGAATGTATCATTTCACGTAATTTTTCATTGACATTTTCAAATTGATATGAACAAACTTGAATTTGTATTTGTATTTTTTTCGTAATATATTATTAATGGCACAATGTCATTTATCCAATAAGTTTAGATTTGTTGATTTTGATTATAAAAAAGAAAAAGAAAAATAGAATTAGAATCAATATTTACAATTCAATCTAAAGAATTGAATTAAGAATATTAAAAAAAAACATACGACAATTCATTTTATCTGCATTTGTATAGATATCTGTACCGAATATTGGTCTTGTTTTGATTTTACCAGTTTTATTATCTTTATATTGTTTGACACATTGACATCTATAAGATGAATGAATGAATGAATAAATAAATAATGGAAAAAAAGAGACAAAAAATTAATACTTTATCACATAAATGATAATAATAATAATAATAATAATAATCAATGATCACTGACAATGTTCCATTTTTACATTGACGAATTTTATAATCACCAAATTGATCACATTCTGGCCGTAAACTATATGGCTGCATCTGAAATCGATTCTGATCAAATCGTTGTTTTTCATATTCACAACCATGTTCTGAATTTGGATCTTCACTTTCAATATCGCCAACTACATAGTTTTTTTTTCATGTGCACATTATAAACAAACAAACAAAAAATTCAATCCATATGTTAATTTTTTTTGTTGTTGTTGTTTTTGTTGTTATTGTTTTTGCTTACTTTTCCGACAGATGGCATTAACATCACATTCATTTCTGGTTTTTTTAACACATCGAAGATGTGGACCACATTGTGTATCCGGTATAATACCTTTCATTTCCAATACGCAATCAACATTTTCCTCTATGATTTTTTTCCCCACCCCCAAATGATAATGGTTGTTGTTAATAAATCGATAATAATATATTAATGGATGGATACTAACCAAGTTCTTCAACACATTCATTACAACAACCACAAGTGGTAACATTATGGAATAAAATTTTATTATCACCTTTACATGGTTTATCTGGACATTTTTGTAAAAGACAATATCGTGGTGTACATTTTTGAAATTCACACTGTATAATGGTAATGAATATGATGGTAGTAATTATGAATAATGGAATGATTTTTGTTGATGATAAATTTTTTGTTGACCAAATACAATATGCCATGATTATTGTGATTGGATCACACTGGTTGTTAGGTTGTTGAAAAAAAAAATAAATCTCAAAAACAAGACAGAATTATTTGTTTGTTGTGAATCTACAAAGTAGATGGTAAAAAAAAACTTGATGAATGAATGAATGAATGAATAAATGAATGATGATGATTGTGATATGTGCAAAAAAAACACACATATATAGAATATAGAATCAATGTGAATGTGAACAAAATTCTCGATATATCAGAATCACCGACACTGATTAATGAAATGATGGAAAATAGAAAATGTAAAGCACGATTATTCGTTTACATCATACAAATACACAGACACAGACACACACACACACACACACACACGATGAAAGACTAATATGGACAAATAAAACAAAAAAATGAACCAAAAATCATACAAAATTTCAAAATATAACAGAGAAAACCAAACAAAAAATTATTGTCAAATAAGAAACTTTTTTTTCTGTTCATTGCAACGTTCCATATATGAATGCGGATGATGATGATGATGATGATCGATTGATTAATCAATCTTTCAATCAATTAATCAATCAATGACGATGATGATGATGATGATGATTTAACTATAGGCTATGGTTTTTTTTATTATTATTTTAAAGGATACACGCTAATAATAATATAAAAAGTGTATGTGTGTGTGTGTATGATGCCAAATAGTAACCATGATGATGATAGCAACTTATATTCTTGATGATCCTGTTATATACATTATTATAATCCTCTTGACACACACACACACACACACACACACACATATCAAACAGGAGCAAAAGAAAATCATGGTTGATGACAACCACGATACGATATGATTATGATTATGAGTTCCATAAGTATATATTATATATATATTTTTAAATATTGATTACAATTTGACATAAAATACGACATTAACGCTTGATGAAATCAAAAATCCAATGTAATGCAATGGCAACCAAATTATTTTCATGATGATCATTTCTGTGTTTTTTGAGAACGAGACAATACATTGCTTAATAATATCGTTATTATGTTTTTTTTTGTTTTGTTTTTGTTGTTGTCTGTACATTAAATGCGTTTTTTTTCTACTTCTTCTAAATTCTGTAAAATTTTTTCTTGTTCTGGTTCAACATTTTCTTATATATATATATGGTATGAATGAATGAATGATGACAAAAATTGTCCATTTCCATTGTTGTCATTATCATCATTTTTCGATTATTTTTTTTCCCCTTGGCTGTTGTTTTTATCTGTCATCATTGTCATTGCCATTGTCTTTGTTGTTGTTGTTTGTTGTTGTTGTTGTTATATATTGGCAAATATATAGGGATTAATTTTTTTTTCATCAAAATCAGTACCAAAACAAAACAAAAAAAAATACCAGAAAAACTAATAATAATTGTAATTGTAATTTACTTGAGAGAATTTCATTGAATTCAACAACAACAACAACAACAACAAAAAACAACGAAAATTATCAAGTTCAATATAATAGGAATATTAGATAATGATACTGACATGGTAAATGTTTAATTTTCATTTTTTTTTGTTTTCTTCATTCTTTTCAAGTGGTCTAAGACTAGAAAAAAATAAAACAAAAATCAAATAAAAAAGAATGAAAGAAAAGTTTATCAAGTTGACAGTCGCTTTACTATCATCATCATCATCATCATCATCATCATAATTGAGATGATTCATTCTTAAATTCTGACAGAATGTTTCTTCTTCTTTTTATTCTTTAAGGGCTTCGACTTATGCTTATGACAATTCAACTATGATGATTTTTATACTCAAGTGAGTGTGTGCGTGTGTGTTTATGTGCCAACGATTGACCGAAAAAAAAGCCTCAAAAAAACCGAAAAAACCAAGATTTATGATCCATTATAAAGCGCACGCTTTACACTGGCACACACACATAATGGATACAATAATATTGGTCACATAGAGAGAAAGAGAGAGAGAGAAAGGGAAAAAATGGATTGAGAAAAATTGAAATATAACATTCAACAACAAGATTTTGTTAAAGAATTATACTGATGATGATGATGATGATTTTTTTCTTTACAGACAGAAATGATGATCTTCTTTGCTGACTGATATATTATTTGATGAAAAGAAAAAAAACAGAGTAGATAGTGGGCAATTAGATGATGATGATGATGTCAGTTGGTGGCCAATGGCCATATTTCAATGCAATGGTCACCAATGATGATTCCATATATTAATATGAATGAAAATTTCAAAATAATCATAATCGTTACCCTGGTGATGTCATCAACCACTGTTATTAATATTAGAATTTGAATTTAACTATATGGAATGAATGAATGAATGAAAAAAAAATGATATATTATTGAAACAAATCACGCGAATCACACACCATCACGATAATGATGGTATATTTTACAATGAATGAATGAATGATATACATGATGGAGAGAGAGAGAAAAAAACAAAAACTTTTTTTTTCTCCAAGTTTAGAAAAGTAAAAAGACTGTACCCACATCTACATCTACATCCATACATCAACACACATCATCACATGTCATATAAAGTTGACCTTTGATTCATCGGTTCCCAAATTGCATTCTACAATGAATCCTATGAATATATGATGAAATTATTTGTGTGCTAGTGTGTGATCAAAAATATTCTTGTTTTCTCACTATTACCACAATCACTCTCAAGCAAAAAAAAAATTTTTGTTCCTTTCATCATATTTTCAATTATAATCACTTATCGACCCTATGGCTATGTCTGGCTTGTGTGTTGTATTGGGAATCATCATCATCAATGATGATGATGATGATGATGATTATCATCATCATCTTGGATCGATATCTCAAGTTTTAGTCAAGTTTTTTGTTTTGTATTCTTTCTCTCTCTCTCTCTACTATTCTTTTTATTTATCTATCTAACTGATGATACAGTTGATGCAATAACTGTGAGGGAAAGAAAATTATAGAATTGTTGTGTTTGATCACACATACACACACACACACACACTATACAAAGAATCACTTTTTCTCTTTTTTTTTTTGCAACACATCTTTTCTGTAGATACAATTTTTTTTGGATCGATATGGTTTGTGTATCTATTTTTATTTTTTTTCTGTCTATCTAATTTCTATCTATCTATCTATCTATTATTATGTTTGTTCATTTCAACTCTTTTTTTTTCTTGACAAAGAAATGAATGTAGATGGCAAGAAACAAAAAAGTTTTTTTTCCTACTCATTTCTCATAGTCTCTCATTCTGTTGTTCATTGATGCAATGATGATCTTCAGTTTTTTTTTCTGTGCAAATGAATTTCAACTTGGCAAAGCATTGAGTATGGAGTTGCAAAAGTTTTTTTTTGTCATTCTTCACCAACATTTATATCACATTACCCTATTGATGATTACAATCCGATCGTATTTTTTTTTTTTTTTTGCTGTATGTTGAGTTTGAATCAAATCATTTCTGGACGAGTTCAAAATGTTCATCATCACTTATGTATATTCAATTCAAATTCTGTGTGTGTGTGTGTGTGAGTGTATCATTGATTAAAAACGAGAGAATAGGACAGAATCAATCCTAGTGGTTTTGCTACATGACGCACACACACACAAATTGAATTCAATTGGAATTGGAATTGGGTTTTTTTTTCATTCCTGTTTACGATTCTGAGATTTTTCACTATTTTTAGCCCCTCAGGCAATAATGGCCATAATGGTGAGTATAATAATGGTGTTAAGAATAAGAATAAATGTCATTTCAAGTATTTAAATTAAAAAAATAATGCCTCAAGATAATATTTCGATTAATTTAAATGAAAAGACAATATGTCTTTTTCAGTATCTTTTATGATGTCAAGTGATAAAAATTCCAATTTTCAAACTTAAATTCGTTTCGAAAAGAAAACAAAAAAATTCTTATTGCTATTCTTACACATCTGGCCGAGTTTTGATCTATTATAATGCAAAGAATTTAACTTTTTTCAAGAATTTTATTCTTTTTTTTCTGTTTGATTTAATAATCACTATGCATTCAATTATAATTGGCTAAATGGCTTCTAATTCGTTGAAATCATCTATTGATGGGAGAGAAAAAAAAGTTTTCCATGCATAACATTAATTACAAATTATTATCGATTTCGATTTGATTATTGAACAACATTAATAATTACACTATATATTTATTTTTAAAAATTATATAGATCCATTATGGATCATTTTTTATCCGCGTGTCTTAACATAATGATGATGATGATGATGATGATGAAAATACATTTCATATATTGACTATCATAGAATCATGTATGTTCGATCATTTTCATCCATTCGATAACATAAATCAATCGATTTTTTTTTCTTTACTTATCCACACCATTCTAGCCATATATATGTATATATAAACTGGTTGTCGTTGAACAACATTGATCCCATTTTAAATGTCCAATAAATTATTATTCCAAGTATTATTATAATCATATAAATCACCATTGGAGTGGTTGTTTCACATAGTTCACCATAGATGGAAAAAAAATAAATATTGTAAACTGAATAACAATCCAAAAACAGTAGCAACACCATAGTAGGGAGTAGCAAGCAAAAAAATGAAAAAAAATATGACAACCAAAAATTGTTATTAAAGAATTAAATAATGAACAATTTATGCATATTACTATTATATGAAAATAATGAAATAATTTTTTTCTTCATTCTTTCTGCTGTTGTTGTTGTTGTTGTTGTTGTAACAACTACAAAAAAAACATGATGATTATGTGTGAATTGATGATTAAAAATTGTTAGCAAACACATAGCAACAGTGGATAAATGAATGAATGAATCGATAAATATATGGAAAAAAAGTTCATTAATTTAGTGAAATACTAACATTTTCAACATTTTCTTTTCTTACAATGAATAAATGAATGAATGAATGAATTAACTACATTTGGTCAATAGAATAGCAATAAAATGATAATAATTCTAATAAGTAAACTAAAGATGATAATGATAATAATGATCCATGTGTTTTGGTCTTATTCCTGGTATGTTGGCCATTTTGGATCACACAAACGCATACACTCACACACACACACACACACACAAAGTTGGTGGCC